CCCTAGCTAAGGGTATGGCCCAGAAACTTGGGCCTCAAAAACATTCCCTCCCAGCAGCAATGCAATAAAGGTGTGATCGAAAGTCTTTCTTTCTGTCCATGATCACAATTGCCGAAAGTTTTGACATCAGTATTTGAGATATATCATAATTCGTATTTGGTATTATCAAATATGGACTTATTTTATTGAAGAATAGAGATTTGATTTTGAGGTGTTACTCTGTATTCAGTATTACGAAGTTGAGATCAGACGTAAGATACCAAAATATCGCAACTTTACAATGGATTAAATATAGCATGCAACTTCTGGTCATTCCTCACGCAAGCCACCGTCCATTCCCAAACTCGGCTTTCTACATTTCTCAGGTCACTCTCGTTTCTTACTCAATTTTTTGCTATTTGCAAAACACCAAAAAATAGAGGCTAATCATAACTACTGTCTCTCCGTCTCCAATCCATCGAGTCAAAGATTACATAGTTTGAAAATATCACCATATCTCCTCTCCTCCCTTCTTATTGTCCTTGCCTTGGCCCGAAGGCAAACTCAGCTCAATATCGATTGATCGTTTTCATCCTTTTCAAAGAGGCAAACTCATCTTCTCGTGACCGACGTATAGGTAAAGTAGTCGATTGTTATTGTCGGCGGAAGTTCCAACGCAAGAACTATTGAATTGAAGTTTTTGAGGCCAAGCTAATTCTGCTGAAATTATATGTTCATGTAAACTACTGTATTGTATCCTTCTCATAAAGTTTTTATTTTGTCTCACTATGCTCCATAAATGCATGCATCTTAACAAAACAGAAGCCAAATAATGGCACGAGCTGGACAAACGGCCGCAAGAAAAATTGAAGGGAGTAGGGCAATGCGTAGTTTGTACCATTAGCAGAAACTGGTGATGAGATCGACAGCACATTGATCAACCACTAAATAATTCTGTTTTTGGACTTCTTGTGGATCCACGGATAAATAATATCATGTATGGAGCGATATTGGATGTGCCTGATAGGTGTTGTGTATATTTGAATATCTAACTTACGAATTTGAAGTTTTCACATCAATCTATTCTAAAATATTTTAGATAGTTTATATTTATAAGATTAATTTTTTTTTAATTATATATGAGAAGTATTCTTTATTAATCTGACACTAAATGGGTGTCAAGAAATGGGAAAGAGAGGAAAGGGGATATAGAGGAAGGAGAATTTCAGAAGAAAAACAGATTGTAATTTGAAAGGAAAAGAAAAAGTTTGGTATGACAGCACTAGCTCCATAAATATCATGGAGGTTGGAAATTTGTATTGTGATTCATAGACCAAAGATCGAGTAGAAGCTTTCCCATAAATGGCGGGGAATACCATTGGTAGCAAAGTTTCAGCTGCAAATGTTTAGGAGAACAACATTAGATAAGATTAATTAATTTTCAAAATTCTCTCAACTCACTCGAGCTAGTTTGTAATTAAATGGTTCTTAGTTATTTAGAGCGTTCATGATATCGTCTGATCATGACTTTCAATATCAATTAATGCTTAGTGGTGTGCAACAATTCGGTCAGCTCTGGAACCAAATTGATATTAATGTTTAGAGGTGAGCTTCAACTAGGCGAGGAGTAAATTGCTAGAGGAGACGAACGATTTCTAGAGTGTGTGTGAATTGGTATAGTTTTTTTTTGTGTTTTTAATTAATTGATTGGAGACATAAAATAATTAAATCTAAATTAGTAGTATTTAAGAGTAAATGAGGGATAATTCGAGTCATTTCACAACCTCTTTAACAACCACTTAACAGATAATTGAATGAATGGATAAATTCGTTACTTTTAATTTTAAAAAAGTACATTTGTACAATAATTTATTAAAATAATACATTTGTTAATTTAATTACAAAATACTATTAACCCTAATATAAACTCCAAATTTGGAAAACTTCTGTACCCAACTATGTGCGTATGCATTGTCGGCCCTCGTTAGGTTATTAGATGACTAGCTAGGAAGAGGACGACTTGTGGGTGGGCTTAGCTTAGTGGGCTTTATGGGGAATATTTCACAAACTGAACGCATCTATAAAGGGCAGGCTTGCTGGCTGGGCCGGATCTTCCCAACGCTCCGGTCATTGTAACGGCGACGACGACCCTTTTGTCGCCGCGACTTTTGCCCGGTCACTATCGCCGACCGTCGTCTGTTCTGTTAATTGTTAAAAGCGTTCAAAAAAACCTTTAGAAATAAGAGGTTTTGGAATTTGGATGGATAGATACGCCGCCGTTTTGTTTTCTCAATCTTGACCCTCCGCAGCCGCTGGAGACAGAGCTGAATGACCCTAATCTTTTGCCTAGTTGTAGTTTTAAGTACTTGTAAATTATTATTTATTTCTTTTATGGCACTTGGTAATGTAACCTAATATAAATGTGTAGTACACGCAAGCATGTTCTGTTACATTCATTCTTCGGTCCAAAATTCCTTGTTGCTTTGCACGTTCAATGATATATAACATCTTTTTATATACATAAAACAATATTAATAACTCCATACTTCAACGAACTTAGAAAACCATGGCGAAAATATCACTCAACAATAAAAAAAGACCCCTCTAACAAGAATGACGAACTTTTACTATGGTTTGTTTGTAAATATGTATCGTGCTATCGATTAGATCACAAAGATTATCTATTTTTAATCATGTCTGTCGGATACACACATATGTGAGAAAAGTTTGGATTGAATATTGATAATACAATATAGTCTAACTGTTACATCCCCGTTTTTAGAGGTTTTAATGAGTATTACACTGGTATATTACATGTTGAATACATTATTTTATTGGGATTTCCTATGGTAATTTGAAGTAAGGTAATTTGATTTTGGGATTTCCTATTTAGTTATGTTGCTATTAAACAAGCGGCTATTGCGTGTCCGTTGGCTTTAGCCAGCTATATAGGCATTGATCAAAGCTTAATTATTCACATAGTTTAAAGAGATTATTCACTTTGCTATTGCATCAGCGAGAGAATGATTTGGTTAAATATAAAACACATTATCGTTTTTTAGAGGCGTTATATATATATATATATATATATATATATATATATATATATATATATATATATATATATATATATGATATCTGATTCAAGTAGGCCTGATAAGGAAGAAATAGTCCTCTTAAACCGCGTCAAGGCCAGCTGATTTAGCCCTTAAAACAACTATACAAGCTGATGATTATCTAACACATGATGCTACCCATGAGATCATGTAGGCAATCGTGTCCTACAGAAGGGATACTACTTTTAATTTAACAAATCTATCCCTAAATGACGACAGATTCTGTTCATTTAACTTAACTTGAAAATTATGCAATGAAAAATTAAGATAATGGAATTACTTAGGGTTTGTTTGTTAATGGAATTTGATTAAAATAGTTGATTTGAAAAAAAAATGAAAGGTTTATGAGTAAATGGGTTGAAGGTTAATGTTCCGATCGCTTTAGCTCGGTTTAGTCCGGATATATGCAAAAGTCATTATATTTTTCATACATATATGAATTACAGCAAATCTCATCTAACATACGATTAACAACGTATAACAATACACAAAAATAACATGTCGTACTTGAATCCAACTTATAGTGAAAACGCAAATACACTTATATAATATAAATATTCAAATGTTCAACTTAGAATTCCAAAGATTGGGTTTGGCGAAAAGGAAAACTGGAAAATAGGCGCATTTCGCAAACCAAAGGAAGAAACGACATAATTTGACCTCTAACCCGATACTTTGGAACAATTGACCTGGCGGGTGTGTGCGGCCCTTCTTTCTCACCGCGTCAAAGTCAAAGTGAGTCAACCGATGGATCGACTCGCAGGTTGACAACCTTGTTTATGAAGAATTTGTGTAACTTCCAATTCGAAAAGTTTGTTGGTTGTTTATTAAATTTTGATCATGATTGTTGTTGACTTGTTGCATTGGATTTATGGGTTTAAAAGCAAATTTAATTTACTGTTAATGATTTACAGTGTATAACATATATAAGGATGTTGTAATGAAAGATCATAGGGAATTTAGGGTCTTTGATCAAATCTCTACTTAGTAGGTGGAGTTCCAAATTCGTAACTTATGAATTTGGCAACCCCAACTTTTATTCAACGAAGATTGAATTTTGCTGAAATCATTGATGGGCTTAAAAAATTAAGTTACTAATAATTTTCTATCAGGATATGAATCAAACAAATAAGCGAGTAAATCTTATCTATGATGTTTTTTTTATTTCCAGTCCTGGCTGGTTTCGAGGGTGTAACTGCCTATGTTTTGATCAATCTATGATATCTTTTGACAAAAAACAAACAAATAAGCGAGTAACAATTGCAACATAACTATAACAACGAAGGATCAGATGGATAATCATAGGTTGTGTATTTTTATATAACCAAATATGGTCTCTTGATATTAAGCGAGGTCAGATATAAAGATCGCGATGAAATGATCTTTTTAGTCCATAATTTTTTATTAAATTTTATTCATTTCAACTTGAATTAAAAAAAATTGCACAGAAGAAACCGATTCAATGTCCACCTATTTCTAACCAAATGAATATTTATTAATCACACTATACAATTTCCCCTTCCTCCCCACATGCATCAGCCTGCCTTGTTCACAACCTTCATCACAATTATAAACATATTTATGTCTGTCTCAATGTGGCATAGTGATTATAGTATATAAGAACTCAAGTCAACTCATCAACTTTCAACATGATCATATTGAAAAACTAATGAAAAACACCAATAAGACAGATAACAAGCAAATAAAACCAATTATTTCCCCTAACTGGGATTACACACATATTTAATTAATCCAATAGTTAACAATTAATGAAAGGCTTACAACATGATCCATCCAATTCCTTGGTCAGCGCTTTACTCATTGCAAAGCTTCTCTATATAAATTCATTCTCTTCAATCAAACCCCACACACCCACAAATATTCCTTCATATACTACAATCAGAGATGGCTGCAGCCTCATCAAAGCTCTTTCAGGCTTTGTTCCTCCTCGGCTTCTTCGCAGCCACAGCAAACGCCCAACTCAAAGTTGGCTACTACGCCAAGACTTGCCCAAATGCTGAGGCAATTGTGAAGAAGGTGATGGATCAGGTCATGGATGTGGCTCCTAGCCTCAGCGGCCCTTTGCTCAGGATGCACTTCCATGACTGCTTCGTTAGGGTAAGCATCCCGTATGTCTATTCGCGTTTTAACATGTTTTTTAAACACCCACGATAGTAAGATTAGCCCTCGACCGACACAGTATATATCTACCTTGTTTTTTCATCGTAAGTAGCTAGCACGAGCTGATTTTGTTTCGAGATAACATAAATAGTACGGATGAAACATTTCATCCCTCCGTAGATAAAAAGGTTTCTTTTAGTACTGCGTTGCGTGCGTGTGGGGAGCGTGTGAGAAATTTGTTACAAAATGAAAAAGTTCGAGTGTCGTTATTATTTGTCTAAACTTTTAGTTCGTTTATGATCATTTTGTTACAGAATGAAAAGGTTTGAATCTCGATTGTTGTTTAGCGATATTGCTTAAGCATTGCTTAAACTAATTGATCTTGTTCATGGATGTGACAGGGTTGTGACGGTTCACTTTTAATAAACTCCACAAAGAACAACACAGCTGAGAAGGACTCTCCCCCTAATTTCACCCTAAGAGGGTATGGAGTCATCGACAGGGTTAAGGAAGCCCTCGAGAAGGAATGCCCCGGAGTCGTTTCCTGCGCCGATACCTTGGCCATAGTAGCCAGAGACGTTACAGTTGCGGTAAGTCGCGTTCTCGATTAGACCATGTCCAACCCGACTATGATGCTTACAAGGAGAACGTACTTACAGAAACACAATATTGTAGGATGACACGTTAGACATTTCGCAGTTGCTGGATGGACGTGGTAACATTATATTTATAGAATAATTGTCACGACGTCTATCCAACATGCCACGAAACACCTAACACACCGAGTGATTTAATCACCGTGCATCTCTCTATGAACACGTTCTCACAAATTTCCGACCTTATTATGTTTCATAATTAATGACAGACGAAAGGGATGTACTGGGAAGTCGAGACCGGGCGAAGAGACGGGAGAGTGTCGATCCTGACCGACGCCTTCACCCTGATCCCGCCGTCGGCCAACATCTCGACCTTGATCTCCGGCTTCAAGGCTCGAGGGCTCTCCGTCAAGGACCTGGTGGTGCTACAAGGCAGCCACACCATCGGAATCTCCCACTGCTCCTCCTTCACCAACAGAATCTACAACTTCACCGGGAAAGGCGACGTGGACCCGACGCTGGATTCGGAGTACATCCCAAAGCTCCGGAGCAAGTGCAGGTCGCCGGCCGACCAGACCACGGTGGTGGAAATGGACCCGGGAAGTTTTAAGACTTTTGACGACGGGTATTTCAAGCTCGTCGCTAAAAGGAGGGCTTTGTTCGAGTCCGACGCGGCCATGCTGGATAACGCTGAGACCAAGGCTTACGTGGAGAAGTCGGTGACCGCTGGATCTACTTTCTTGAAGGACTTTGGGGAATCGATGGTCAAGATGGGCAGGATCGGTGTGCTGACTGGGCGTGCTGGAGAAATCAGGAAAGTCTGTTACAAGATTAACTAATTAGTTAACTTGGTAAGTTCTAAGTTGATTATATATGTGATAATAATAATAAAAAAAAGGTCAACTTATAACGACGAAGGTATGTCGTGGTTAATTGTGCAGTGTTTTGTACGACGGCTAAGAATGCCCGTTACTAAAGAGTCGAGGTTCTTATTTTGTTATTATTTAAAATTACGTTGATTTATTGGTGTTCATAATATTGTTTCGTTTCGTTGTATGGTGCTCTCTGTATTCGAAGGGAAAAAGAAGATCAAATAATTGTTCTTAATAAAGAGAGCATTTGTTTTTTTCTTCTTTGTGATTCTTTATCATTAGTTCTTCAATCATTATTAATTACTAAATCTAGTTAAGTAGTTCATTCCAATAATTTTAACTACAAAGTAGAAAGACTAAAATTTTATATTCAATACTACTGTGTGAATTAGGTTGCAGCCTCTCAACTTTAAAATATTAAATAAAATTATATGTAAATATCAACTTTGTAACAAATTTAGAAAATAAAATAGTACGTAAATCTCTAGCTCTTTCACTTATTATTCTGGTTCAAATTTTGTAAGTTTAATTTTTAACCCCCTCATTTAGATTGATGATCGGCCGCTAATTGTGCGATGCAAAATGTACCAACTTGGAGGACCAAAAATTTATTATAATTAAGTAATTAGACTAGTGTCATGGAGAAAGCGATTAAGGCCATAGACTAAGATGGTAGGTAATGGGGCAGAGATGACGATGTGGATTGTTGGCCAGGTTATAATTTATTTTGAAAAAAATAAGAAAGTCAATGGTTCAAATTAAGATCAAACCAAACTCTCTAATAGGCTAATACCACTATTCAAATGTGACAAAAAACATTACATGGGTTGCATACCGATGGCTTTATGATTTCTCTGACTATTATCATAAGCAGGCAGATTCCTTCCACTATATTTTTAAATATTGGTGATTTGAGATACGAATTGAAAATGTAGTATAACTATAAAAATACAAATTCAGTTTGTACCATAAAGATACAAATTCAGTTTGTACTATAGCATGTTTTGTTTGTTTTTTGTTTTTTGCCAAAAGATACTTCGTATTGAACGAAAAATCGAGATATACTAAAGTCATCTGGCTGATCAAAGTCAGAAACGAAAATCGAACCCAATCAAACTAGGGATAGTATCAAACATTACAAGTGAACTTCCTGACTTTTGCTTCCTGTTTATGACTCTCGAATGGCCCGCTAATGTGAGACCATTTATATGTTTAGTTGTATTAGCTATTTGTCGCCAATAAAAAAAATTAAAATTAAAATTTGTTAGACATACTTCTTCAATAGAAGAGTTTCATTATCTAAAACTTATCCAACTCTCAGAAAACGTAGTAAATTTAGAAAAAATCGACGCTAGCCAGAAAATTATCGGAAAAGCCGTAGCTCGACGTAAACTGTGCACATACATCCATGAATCATCACTAAGCAGGTGCGTCGATTTTTTGGAGTTTTGAACAATTTTTCCAACGATTTTCAAGGGACAGACGGCGGGCCAAAATATTCCGGCAGCCGGAACCACGCCGAGCCGCCGGAAAATGGTGGACTGAGCTAGGCTCAACCAACGATGTTTTCGGCTCGGCTTGGTTCCTGCCACCATTTTCCGGCGGGCCGACCAGGTTCCGACCTACAGAATATTTCGCCTCGCTGTCTGCCGTTGGAATTGTCGACCAATTTAGATTGTAGGAGTTAATTTTAGCATTTAAGAATTGAATTTAGCGTTTAATAGTTGAATTTAGCATTTAAGTATTGAATTATTTCCTTTATAATTTTTAACGGACGATCACATCTTAAGTTGGAATTTAATGACCTAAAGAACTTTATGAAATCACATTTATATGTCAATAATTTTAATAGCTAAATAACTTTATGAGCTATTGCGCTATGATTTTACGAATTTTTGAGTTACTTTCTTATCGTTCAGTGTTAAAAAAATTATTAATCATTTTAACTGAAGTCATGAACTATTGTAAATTATTATTTCATTCATCATATAGTGCAATTAGCTATTTTCTTCCAATCCCAAGGCACCCTTAGGATATGCTTAGCGATCTAGGCGCTCGCAAAGATTGGTCTCTTACTTTTCGTTGCTAAAATACCTATGATATTTAGCAACGAAAAGTAGACAGGTTCAAATGATATCAACTCTGCAAGTTCGAACCAACTGGTCTTCAAATTGTTCATTCGAAAATATTGAAGAAATTTTTACTGACAACAAACAGATTCTTTGTTTGATTGCAAGACCTTCGCGATGACTCTATCTTGCTAGTACCACCTAGTAATTCAAATCGAATCAATTGTATGTGCGATTAGGACCTGTATGACATGACTGAGAAGTACATTTTGTGCAACAACCCTTCCTATTTGATATAAAAAGGTCCAAAGATGATTTTCGGTTCAAAGACGCACAGTGTCACTGCTTTTTCAAGATAAGAAGGTGTAAAGAAAAGGCTCAAACTAATGTTCATATACCGGGTTTCATGGCAGTGCGGATATCACAATGTCTAATCAGCCATGTGATATCCGCACTGCCTCATTACCATCACTAGCCACAAGTTTGGGAAAAGAAGAGAATACCCAACTCAGAGGAAACCGGTAGCTTTATACCTTAACTCCCTGTTCATGCATAAAGAGACTTGCTCACCAAAAAAAAGCAACGTAATATATATGCAGCCATGCATGCATATGCTGCCTTTTTAACCACCTCCAAAAGCAAAATTTCAATGGGGAAACCTCTCCAACCTACGGCACAACTTTTGTAACACACATACATTCTTTCCTTCATTCGCAAATCGCAATGCCACCGAGCTTAACTTAGATTCCATGGCGCCACATTTTTAATATTCCACACCACATTCATATAAAACAACCCAAAAGATACCTCTCCTCCTCTATTCATCACCATCCCCAAGAGGAGGAAACAATGTACAATCAGACTAACGACAACCACCGGCTGCCGGCGGTCCACCGGGAGACGGCCAACAACAAGCCGCCGGTCGAGCGCCACCACACGGCCCGCTACTACGCCCACCGTGTCCGCGAAAGCCTCACGACCCGCGTCTCGAAGCTCATCTGCTCCGTCTTCCTCACCATCCTCCTCGTCGCGGCCATCGTCTTCTTCGTCATCTGGCTCAGCCTCCGCCCGCACAGACCCAGGCTCTTCCTCGACGCCTTCTCCGTAACCGGGCTGGACCGGCCGGCCGGGTTCGAGAACGCCCAGGTCCGGTTCAAGCTGACGGTCCGGAACTCGAACCGGCACGTGGTGTATACGGGGCTATGCACGGGTCGGTCTTCTACAAGGACCAGCGGGTCGGGCCGGTCCGGCTGACCGGACCGTTCGACCAGGGGCCCAAGAGCACGAAGGTTTTGGACGAGGTGCTGACGGTGAGCGGCCGGCGGTGGGATCGGTCGCGAGGGAAGGTGGCGTTCCGGTTGGATGTGACGGCGACCGTCATGTTCAGGGTGTCCACGTGGCGGAGCGAGACGCATCGGATGCATGCCAACTGTGATGTGGATGTGGGGCCGGAGGGGTCCATCTTGCCCAGTTTTAAGTCCAAGAGATATACTGTCAAAAAAAATATTTCACTTGATTGCGTTTACTTTTTTTTTTTTTTGCCTTTGGTTTTTTGGGTTTAATTTGTCAAATTGGAGTTATGGTTTAATAATGAATTTGATTATTCTGGTTCATGGTTTGATAAATTATGTAGAAATTAAAAAATTCATTAACAATTAATGAATTTAATCTTATATATAAAACATATTTGAGGCTTATATTGATATTTTTAAATAGAATGTGACATTCCTAATAAAATTAAAATACTCGTATTTAAATAAATCATTTGACGTCAACACCTAAGCGTTTATACTTGAATATATCCAACAAATAACATCAACATTTAGATTTGAAATTCATAAAATAAATAATAAATTATTTTCATATTAATTAAATTCACTAAAACGATATTATTTTGTTTAGAGACCGTAAATCGTTCATGTCGATCACTTATTCCAAAAATTGATACCGGTTGAACCAGGTTCAAATCGTGACATATAGGCCCACGTGACAACCACAAAGCAGTCTAGTTAAGTCCCACTTTTCTAAGTCCTTGGGTAACCCAAAGATCACCATGGATTCTGAAACATAACAAAAAAAAAACCTGAAAAAAGAATACATGTCTACATTCATGAAATTCAAAGTACCTTGCTTTTCAAGGCACAAGAATCCAAAACATAAAAGGAAGATCTGAGGCTGTAATCCATATCCCACCACCCAGCATCGAAATCTTCATAGTTTCGAACAAAAGTGATAGGTGGTTGCAGCAAGCAAACAAGCTGCTATAACCAATTTTCCACCACCCAAAACCAATATAACATGGTCCTCAATCATCACTACATCTACTGACTAGTGTTCAGATTCAAAAGAAAGAGATAAACAAAGGCAATCAGCCCTAATAACATCATCCGTAAATCAAACTAAAATCTATAGTACTAATACATGAGTTCCTTTGATATTTTCCTCCAAAAGCAAGCAACATTATGATGAAAATCAACAACAACATTCATCCTTCAAAAGCAATTACTATAAGAAACAGAATAGCAAACACAGTAAGATAAAGTGAAACTCATTTTAAATTGAACAAGTAAAATGAGCAGAAGTTTGACTCTATACCTTAAACCTTTCAACAAATCAGTCATCTAGGGATAATAGATGCTTTTTCATCACAAGTTCCCCTTGATCTGCAAGAATAAAAAAATACAGTTACAGATTGAAACTATCAAATTAAGGACTAAACTTAATTGAACTAATTACACATAAGATAGAATTGAGAACCAACCAACTTACCAGCTTCCTCTTGATCTTCAGTACTGGAATCTGCAATTGCTAGAGCTGAGAACACCCCTTCCATTTCCTCGACAACAGCCTTTGAGGATTCTATATATGCAAATAAAGACCATTAACATTTAATCCAATTACCATTAAAAAACTAATAAGGGTGTAATTGCAGGTTACCTTGTTGCATTTCCTCCATAATCCAACTCCTGGTACACATTATTGCCCAGGGCCGGCCCATGATCATCGGAGGCCCTGTTCGAAAATTTAAAATATGGCCCTAAAAATTTGTTCCCGTAAATTTATTATTAAATAATAATAAAAAATGAAGATACAATACAAAATTGATTTTTGAAAGAGTGAAATGATACAAAATTGATTATTGAGAGAGTGAAACAAATATAAGAATCCAAACACTAACTCTTTTGAAAATTAGTTTATCTGCTGGACCCACCTGGATATGTTAGAAGTCCTCAATTGAGTAAAATATTAGACGAATTTAAAAAAGTGAAGAGTGGAATAGAGAAGGGCAATGTCTATTTTTTACCCAAACCTTTTTCAGATTCATTTATTTTAACCAAACCTATAGAATTCCTAAAAATTATCCAAACTTTAACTCTCCGTCAACTTTTTTGTTAGTAATGCTGACTAAGTATATGACCATAATGAGTTGACTTCCTACATGATGGTCAGAATACCATCATTTACTCTTTTTAATAAAAAGATTATAAAAAAAACTAAACAAAATCCCACCCCTCACGTGGACGAAATAAGTAACGGTAACAGAATGAATGCCCAGACTTTGATAAATTATACGTTTGGATAATAAATAGAATTTCTATAGGTTTGGTTAAAATAAAAGAATCTGAAAAAGATTTGGGTAAAAAATAGACATTGCCCAATAGAGAATAAAGGAGAAGAATACTAGATGAGTATGAATATTTTTGGGTTCAAATGTATAATTCTCAAAGGATACTAACTATTTGTACCATTTGATTATATTAAATTTTGGGCCATTAGCTACAACTACAATGTTGTAACGAAACCATCATGGAATTTGGCGTGGGGATGGGCTGACTTGCCCTTTTTACATTTGGCAGCAAGTGTTGAATTTTGTTGGCTCTTGGTTGTTTTAACTTTGAGGGCTGAATTTTCTATGAAAAATTATAAGAAGGAAAATGGCCCATTAAAGTCCATTAGATTAATTCATGTTTTTATAACTTTGGCCCGTTCATTCTTTTTGTGGCCCATGTAAACATGAATTAAAAGAGTTTTGTTTCATAGCATACCTATAATTTAGCCCAACAATAACTAATGTTTAAGGAATTTGAATTTTATGGAGGCCCCAAAAATCATGAGGCCCTGTGCTGGCGGGCTGACCAGCACAAGCCCATGGCCGGCCCTGTTATTGCCTCTACTGTATCATAGTGCAATCTTCTTCAATGTGGGTCTATTAACCTCCCACCAGAGCTAAAAGCAGATTCAAAAGCCACTGATGTGATTGGTATGGCCAAGAAATCTCATGCAATTGCTTGCAAAGTGGGGGTACTTAATGCCATTCAGTTTCCACCATATCAATATATCAAAGTCAGGAGACCTATTAGGAATAAGTTGCTCAAGAAGATAGTGATCTAGCTGAGTATGGATCAGAGTTGCTTTGCTTTTTTTTCCCCTCCGATACACAAAGAGATCAAAATCATGATCATCATTTGTAGGACCAGAAGAATTACCATAAGCAGTTGAAGAACCAGAATTGTTCTTCTCAAACTTGGTTTGGTAATCAAACACCAAACGACAAATATATTGCTTAATCTTATCAACCAACAAGTAAGTATTTGTACTGCCAAACTTAACAACATAATACTCAAGTTATCAGAAAGCTCTGATACCAAGTCAAGAACCAGTTGATCACAATAAAACAATAAATCAAGTTGTTGGAAGATGTTCAATCGTGAATCATATAACTTTTATTAACAATAGTCCAAAGGTTACTTGTACAGTTAGTACTACAATCCTCTCGAGCAAAAAATGTACATATCCTATTATGATGTGGAGTTCCTCGAGCAAGTTATGTATTATCCAGTCTCCAACTACGAGCGGAGATGAATGGACAAACTGATCGCAAGAGAAGAGTGAGCCGTGAGACGCTAAAATTTATTTTAATTAACAATTTTTTTTGACATTTTCACCCTTCCATGTCTATGGGCCATTAGACTAATTTATCATATAATGAGTAATTACTCATAATAATTTGACCGCTGCCAAAAAAAAGTTCTATTTAACATCATAATCCTGACGCGCAAGTTATGGGTATAAAAAATCGTTATAAAGTCATGAGTTAACAACTTCATATTATACAAAGTCGTAGATCGTGATACCTGACATACAATAGTTGTTCACTATTTGGTTTTGGAATGAGTTCATTGTTTAGGTTCAAAAAATATAGCCAACACTAAATAATATTATGACGTAATATAAGGGGATAAAATAGCAAAGATGGGACTGATTCTAATTTATTAACTTTGAGTTGGAAAATTTCAACCACATGTCTTTCCAGTTTAATACTATTTGCCTGTTTGGAAAATTTCAACCACGAGTTTGGTTTGAAAATTTCGTCTCTATGTTCTTCTCCATCGTCTATTAAGACACCTAAATAGAAAAATTATTTTACGAAAAACTGTGCGTATGCATGTGTGTGTGAAAAATTGCACTAATGAAAAGCAAGGGGAGAAGTTTTATGAGAAATGAAAGTAAATCCGATCAAGTTCATGGGCGTGGAGACGTATTTTTAAGCTCATGACCCTCTTAGTTGAGTTTATTATGTGTCTCTAATATTGGAGATGACTTTCATTTTATGTTCCTCTTTTCATTGTAGTTAGAAAAGAATAAAGGTCTGAAGAATTAAGTTTTATAGTGGGTATGTGAGTGGTTGATCAGCGGGTTGAAATTGATACATCCTCAAATAATCCGAATTGCAAATAGTGATTGATGTGAGTGAATTGTGGATTGATAAATCTCCTATGCACACTTATGTGGGTAGGTGGATTGTGGGTCACCCGAACGACCTGCACTATATTTTCATATGACAAAATGTTGCTTCTTATGTTATCGAATATTCATCATATTTTCTAACCGCACTACACAATGATCATCTACTTCTCAAAATTGAGAATAAAGAATACTTTTTGACTACTATTATTGGTTATTGTGTTGTGTAAAATATCCATTAGATATTGGATGCAAATTATAAAGTATTAATTTTATCAGAGTCGCAAAACGCGCAGGTTTTCTCAATTCTCTACACAATTGGTTGATAGAGTATTGAAAATTTTGATGCAAATACTGCATGGATTCACATGAGACAAAGTGCGGGAGGTGTCTAAATTGATATAATCTTACTAATTTACAAGAAATTTATTATACAAGTTAGTAAACTTTCTTAATGGCTAGCTAGGGAAATACTTTTTGAATTAACCCACAACTCAACCGAACTCAATCCACAATAGAATGTTGGGCAGATTGAAACTCACAATTATACCAATTTTCTAGTAAGCGGATGAGTCGATTTGATTTGAGATGAAAAACTACCCAACCCGCTCATTACCCACCCTATAATCTTTCTGTGTTGGTCCCCAAGTCAACTCAACGCTGCTTCCGAACTACCAAGACTTTTGTTGCTCGTTGGTTCAATGGCACATGTACAATATTACTCCATCTGGCAATATAGGCTGTCAAGAAGTTCTTTCACTTAGCCAATTTTCACGCCTTTCTCCAAAAATGAATCCTCCTTCACTCCTCCTTCCCCTGCTTCTTCTCATTATCCTCATACTATCCTGTCACACAACCGCGCAGCCGCAGACGCCGCCGGAATTCATCCTCAAATCCTGCTCCGACGACGCCGGGAACTACACCGACGGCAGCCCATACCAGCGAAACCTCAACACCCTCCTCTTCTCCTCGCTAACCGCCGACAACCGAACCACCACCGGCTTCTACAACCTCTCCTCTGGCCCGCCGCCCGGACCGGACCGGGTCAACGCCATCGCTCTCTGCCGCGGCGACGTCCCGCTCGACGACTGCCGCCGCTGCCTCGCCGCCGCGGCGCGTCGGATCCTCGTCGACTGCCCGGTCCAGAAGCAGGCGTTCGGCTACTCCGACTACTGCCAGATCGGGTACTCGAACCGGTCCATGTACGGTTCGCCCGTCCCGGACCCGCCCACCTTCCACCGGACCAACGGCAAGAACGTGACCGACCCGGTCCGGTTCGATGCCGCCCTGGGCGTCTTGCTGACCCGGCTCCGTGACTCGGCGGCGGGAGGAAGCTCCGTGAGGAAATTCGCGGCGGGGACGGAGCGGGAGCAGCAAGGGTTCGTCACCATCTACGGGCTCGCGCAGTGCTCTCCCGACCTCTCGCGGCAGCTCTGCGGCGGCTGCCTCACCGGCGTCGGGAACCGGCTCATCGGCGGGCGGGTCGGGGCGCGGATCTGGCAGCCCGGTTGCCAGTTGCGGTACGAGACTTATTTGTTTTACAACGAGACGGAATCGCCATCGCCGTCACCGTTGCTGTTCGCCCCGCCACCGTCGGCTCCGGAAGGTAAGCTTGTGATTTGAATTAGTTTTGAGTAGCGTTAGTATTTTATCCGTTTAAAACTTTCGTATCCGCATTATTGTCAAACTACTTTATTTTTTCTTGTTCATTTAATGACTTCTGTACTAAACAAATATAAAGCTCGTATAGCACTTTTGATATATGTATTTAATGAATTAAATTGCTAACTTAATTATTATTTATGTACTTATTTAATTTTAAAATAATTAATTTCAAATTTTTATGACTAATGACGTGTTATTAAACGTAATATTAGTTTGGAGACGAAGTAAAATACCCGTACTTATTTTATACGTAATTTACACGTGCCTATTTTGCTAACTATGTTTGATATTAGGCGGAGGAAATAAGAATGCGAGTAAGATTCTAATGGCGACTGTGATTCCAGTCGTCGGCGCCGCTACGCTCGGCTTCATTGTCATCTTCTTCTGCCGCCGCCGGAGATTGAAGGGGTCGAGAATCCGTAACCAGAGTCATAGAGACGCGAGTAAGCAAATGGAATTATTTTCTATATAAAAAAAAAGCAAATAGAATTCCGATTACACTTACAAGTTTCAACCATGGTCCATGAAACCGTACCGTACCGGCGGTTCAACCACGAAATACCAGTATTAGAGGCTAAACCAGTAGGCGGTATTTAACGGTATTACGGTTGAACTACGGTTAAACCACGGTTTTACCATAAAATACCCTACCGCTGACCTTCCCGATACGATCTCCGATACGGTTTCATGGACCATGGTTTCAACCAAAAGCTACGTCCATAATTAACAAAACAACCGTACACTAGTAAACAGGAACTGTTTACTTGTTTAGTCATCCTCGAGGCGTGATGGTTTACTATAATACTGATCAATTACGAATTATGTGAAGCCGCCGATGAAATCAGCAACGAGGAGTTCTTGCAATTCGATTTTGCAACGATGAGAGCCGCGACAAAAGATTTCGCCGATGAAAGCAAGCTCGGAGAAGGTGGATTCGGAGTTGTTTACAAGGTTAGAATACATCGCAAATTCGATAATGTATTTTATCAAATTCATGGATTTTGAAATTTATTAATTGTGTGTTTGAATAGATGTATTTCAAATGTATGTATTTGAAGTCAAATATTTAAAATACATGTAATTAAAATTCTTTGTTTGGATATTCATTTGTAACTTGTTTGTATTTAAGATTTTATGATGTTTCGGATTTGTTAGACATATTACAATTTTTGAAAAATTATAATTTAGTATACACAAGTTATCCAATAATTTTGATGGTAACTTTTTGTTTAGTACCTTTATATTTTTTCCTTTCATTATAGTACCTGCCTAAACTTTTAAAACTTTACAAACAGGTCCATTTTGTTGTCACTAGTTGTTGATATATATTTAAAATCCACAAGTAATACACTAAATATGTATTCGAAATTCACCCCATGAATTTGATACAAATCGAAGTAGTACCCAAACAACCGATTTAGTATTTGAAATTTGAAATCTCAAATACAAATTTCAAAGTCTTCTATGCCAATGGAGCCTAATTTATTTTGCAGGGAATTTTATCAAATGAACAAGAAGTAGCAGTGAAGAGATTGGGAAGAGATTCAAGACAAGGAGATATCGAATTCAAGAACGAAGTTAAGTTGGTGGCCAAGCTTCAACACAGGAATCTAGTTAGACTTTTGGGCTTTTGCTTAGAAGGAGAGGAGAGGCTTCTCGTATATGAGTTCGTCCCTAATGCCAGCCTCGATCATTTCCTCTTCGGTACATAAGACGACATGGTATTCATTCAGTTCGTTTCGAATTTGATACTAATTGGGTTGTTTTTTCTTATGTTTTCACTTCATTATGCATGAAATGAAATACAGATGCAAATAGACAAATGAATCTGAACTGGGAGAGACGATACAAGATTATCGAAGCCATAACAAGAGGGATGGTTTATCTTCACGAGGACTCTCGACTGCGGATTATTCACAGGGATCTGAAAGCCAGCAACATTTTGTTAGACGCCGAGATGAATCCCAAAATTTCAGATTTTGGGATGGCTAGGTTGTTTGATATGGACGAGACTCAGGGGAAGACAAACAGAATCGTTGGGACTTAGTAAGTCTGAAGTATTGAAAAGCATTCAAAAAACGAACTTATATACCTCGATCTCTCTGCACATAATGAAAATTGGGTGTGTGATTTTTTTTTTTTTTTGCAGTGGATATATGGCCCCAGAGTATGCAATGCACGGTCAGTTTTCGGCAAAGTCTGACGTGTTTAGTTTTGGAGTGCTTGTTTTGGAGATTGTGAGCGGCCATCAGAACTGTTATGTCCACAGTGGCTCGACTATAGAGAGCCTCATAAGTTATGTGAGTGTATAGATTCTAATGACATCCCATAAGTTTCTCGCTAATTTACTCAATTTGACCCGATTGTCACGTTAATTTGCTGGCTTTCCTTTCTTAGGTATATAAGAACTGGAGGAACGGGACTTACACCAACCTCGTGGACCCGTCTCTGGGAACCCGTCCAGGCGCCGAGGTGGCGAGATGCATCCACATTGGGCTGCTGTGCGTGCAGGAGAACATCAACGACAGGCCGACCATGGCCGCCGTTGCTCTAATGCTATGCAGCCACTCCGTCACCTTGCCGTTGCCTTCCAAGCCGGCCTTCTTCCTCCACACCGGCAACAGTAACAGCACCGGAGGCGGTTCTTCTTCTTCTGGTGAAGCTCATTCTTTTTCCAGAAACGAGGTTTCTCTATCCGAGTTCTATCCTCGTTGAAGTGCGATTTGGCCAATGTTTTTTTCTATAGATTAAAGATTATAGTGCTTTGTCTCCCCTGTTATGAAGTTAATTAAGTATGGCATTTGCAGTAGAACCAACCAGGACATTCATGTTTTATAAGAATCGAACGGTAGGGATGGCAATTTCAAACCTAACCAGATTTATCCGATTTGTTTGGCCTGTCTTGCGGCAGGTCCACCCCGCCCCACGAGACGGGTATGAGTACCTCTCATCGACCCGACATGTCCCGACCCGCCCCATTCTTGACCCGTTATTGCTTAAATTACATGTAATCTTAGTCAAATTATTTAGGATTGTTCTCTCATTACAACATATTTTAGCTATAATAAAGTTGTAAATAAGTAAAAATCTCAATTTCTCCAATTGGTTAACTACATTTTATCATATAATGGATTCTTTCTTGGTCTTTTAATGAAAATAACGAATATTTCTAATGTTTTTCGCATAAATTGCATACACATTGGGTCGACCTGCCCCGACCCGGGCCCCATAATAAATTATCTTACCTGGACCCGACCTGCCACGGGGCGGGTATGGGTATTGAGATACCCGCCCTGGACCTGCCCCATTGCCATTCCTGCCGAACCGGATGAGTCAGTAGAACCACTAAATCAATTACAAATAGTGGTTTGGTTCATTTGATTGGGCGGTTAGCTAGTTTAGACCCAACTGTTTTTAACAGTTTGACATGAAACCAGATGAACCACCTCGATTGAGTGGTCCACCGGTTCAAAATGTTAACCACAAAAATTGAAGAAGAAAAAATACTTTAACGTAAATTAAGAACGTCAAAGCTCAATCACTAATTTTATTTATGCTTCCTTTTTTTCTTTTCCTAACATCTCTTTGTCAATTTTATGTGGTCCACTATGGATGGTCACCCTTATTACTAACTTGAATTTAATAAAAGAAAATTTTTATTGATTTTGTGAGATAATTTGTATACTTTGTTAAAACTTTTTGCTAAGAGATGACATGTATTTGAAGGTAAATGCGTTGTCTTAAACCTTATCGTGTTTCGAAGCATCCATAGAAGTAGAATATCGGTCTATGAGGTGAGTTCGGAAATGGAGTAGTTGTATCGGTTGCTTGGCTAGAGTTTTATGGTAATTTTGTCGTCCTATGAGGATCTATTGCGATAACATGAGTGCTATTCATATTGCTATTAATCTTGTGTTTCATGACATGATTGAAACATTTTGAGGTACATGTGCATTACATTTAGAAGTTGATTGTAGAGGGTTCGATACAGGTTTGTGTGCTTGTCTATACAGGATCAGACAACAGATATCCTAATGAAGGCGTTGGCTTCAAGTAGACATTGGTTTCTCTCATCCAATTTAATGTTACGCACCCAATATCAATTTGATTAAGGGTTTTGTAATATGAAACTATTAGTACTACTTTGTAAATGACCATCTACCTATGTACCTATATTACTATATATATAATATATATATATATATATATGAGTCACTCCACCTCAATATATTTTTTTGCCTTCCTTTTTTTCCAAAAAAAAAAACCTCGGTTATTTTTGGACCTAGTGATTACTGATTACTCTACACCTCAAATAACGCTGCCGATGAACGAGGGCTTCCAACAACATGAGAAATAAGAGGAGAACCGCAAAGCAACAGGAATTTGTATACCTATATGGTGATCACTCCTCTGTTTCTTATGAATCCTTTGTTACTTTGGAAAAGTGCATGGACGACATGGAAGTGGAAAAGGTAGAAGAAGCAATAATAACCGTAGCAGGGGAAGAAGAAGAAGAACAAGAAAAATTAACCGAGAATCCACGTGGTAAAATATTGGTGCTCTGGACTGTGCTGTTAATCATCAGTACAGCTGCCACCTTCGGTCTCAACTTCGTGCCGGTGCTGTTTTTCCCAGACTTTGCGAAGCTCATCAACAACCATCTGATTTTCGCTTTTGATTGGGCGGTCAACGCAGTGAACCTCGTGTGCATGCCCATCAGCCTGGTTTATTTTGCCTTCCGATGGGGCGAAAAGGGCCCCGGTTGTGTCTGGGGGCGCTACGCTAGGTCTGCAGATCTCGTCTTTGTCGTCCTCGTCTCTCTCGTCGTCGGTTACTGTAGCTCCTGTAGTCATCGGCGCGATCTGGATCCGTGGATCGCGCTTGGATTGGCGTCTTTTAACGTGCAGGCGCACGTGTTTGTTAAGCATCGGTGGAAGGTTTTGGATTACCAAGTACACGATATGGTGGTGGCGATCGTGATGCAAGTTTTTGCTTATTACAATGTGGTGATGATGCTTCACGGAACATCCGGGGAGCATCATAATGGGTTAGGGTTTAGCATTGCGGTGTTGTTCGTCACGATGGTGCCTTGTGGAGTTGCCGTTTTTTATACATTCTCTCTAGATCCTGTTTTGGATAGACCTGAAGATCTTCAAAATTTATATAGATACGACGATCGGTTTGGAATATATACTAATGCTCGTTGAAGTGCATGATATCGTTATATAAGTGATTCTTTTTTTTCTAGTTATTATTTCATTGTTCCACTAGATATTATTATTTCATTTTTTTTTACTCGTCTCCAGAAATACGATGCTTAAATAGGAAGGTCCAGAAATTGATAGTTTGATTTTCCCAAGTTGAAACAAGAAATCACACTCTATCTGAAATTATTGAACAAAAGTATTGAAGTATATGTAAAACGATGGGGATAAATAAAGGAATGAAGAAAAGCAATGGAAGCAAGCAACCCAAAGAAAACTACATGGTTCTAAAAAAATAAATAAGGAATGAAGAAAGCAATGGGAGCAAGCAACCTTGTTTATCCCATCGGTTTACATATACTTCAATACTTTTGTTCAATAATTTCAGATAATATTACACAACACTATTACTTTGTTGGAATTGAGCCTGGCTCTCAAAACTAGGAGTGGTCATGGCAGTTATAAACCGGTATCTCGATATCCGTACTCGTCCTATGGCAGGTCAGGTACAAGTCGAGTAATCTATCGTATGGCGCGGGTGTGAGACATGTTGATCCATATGTGTATGTAATATGAAAGAAAAAACTATAAATATTTATTTTTGGGTAAATACAATATAATAGCCAAATTCTTGTTGTAAACAAAATAATAGTCAAACCTTTTCGAAAATAATTTAATAGCAAAATCGTCAACTGTTAGATGACTTTGACCTGTCAAAGTGTTGAACAAAATGGATGGTTTTTGCTAATGTCACAAGAAGTCAAACATTTGACCTTGTCGCATCATAAAAACCATCCAACTCAGCTATAGGTTTGACACGTCAGAGTCAACTAACAGTTGACTGGACGGAAAGTTGACAGTTTGATTATTAAATTATTTTTGAAAATATTTGGCTATTATTTTGTGTAAAATGACAGATTTGACTATTATATTATATATAATTTACCATTATTTTTCCTTTCAAAATCAAAAAACAAACTATAATATGATAAATTTAGTTAAATTATTTGAAAATTTGAGGTTCTCGCCTATTTACAAGTTCATTATAGCTAAAATATGGAGAAATTTTACAATGCTATATAGTATTTGTGCTATAGGCTTTTGCCTTTATGGTACAACTTAAAATTATACATTGACGTTATGGTACAACTTCAGATTGTACCTATACTTTTTGTACAAATTCTTTTATGGTACAACTTGAATTTGTACCATTGGTACAAATTCAAGTTGTAAAGTTGTACCATAACATAATGATACAAATTGCCTTATGGTACAACCTAAACTTATACATTTAATGTTATGGTACAACTTTGAGTTGTGCATTAAAGTACCAATGCTATATAGCATAGTAGAAGTGCTCATAAAATATGATGTAATACAAGTAAAATTCTAAGTATTTTGAGAAAATTACATGTAATTTAGACAAAACCGAGTAAAAAATGAAGCGGGTCAGGGCAGGCCTGGTCAAGCGGAGTATCCATGCTCGTTTCGCCCTTTATTACTTGATTCAAAACAGGTCGATTGGTTCAGGTGGAAGTTGTCATGAAGCATGAAAGGGATGTGATCCATCCTCCTTCCAAGGAGTAAGGAGAAATGTATCATTAATATCCCCTCTTCTAGCTAGGATAGTGTAATCCACAAAAATAACATTTGCCGATGAATGAGGGCTTCCAATGAGCAGAGAAATAGGTGGATCAGAAGTCAGAACCGCAGAGTAAGTTTGATTTATACCCAAGGAATAATGATCACCAATAACAAAAATCACTCTTGTTTTTTAATGAATCACAAACTGACCCTTTCTACTGTGGAAGTGCATGGACACATGGAAGTGTCAAAGGTGGAAGAAGCAGCAATAACAATAGCAGGGGAAGAAGAAGAAGAACAAGGAACCGGCGAGACCACAGATCGCCGCCGCATTGTATTACTGGCGCTGTGGCATGTATTGTTAGGCATAGCTGCACTCGCCAACTTCACGCTCAACTTCGCGCCAAGGTTGCTGCTTCGGGACTTCGCGAAGCTCCTCGACCATCCCATCGTTTGTTTGGAATGGGCGCTCAACGGAGCCAACTTCGCGTGCATGCCTTTCGCCGTAGCCTATTTCGCCATTCTATGGGGCAAGAAGGCTCCTGGCTGCGTCTGGGGCCGCCGCGCTAGGTCTGCAGACCTCGCCATCGTCGTCCTCGTCTCTCTCGTCTTCGGTTACTGTAGCTCACGCCATCATCGACGCGTTCTGGATAAGTGGGTCGCGCTTGGGCTCGCGGTTTTCAACGTTCAAGCTCACACGTTTGTGAAATTTCGATGGAAGGTTTTGGATTATCAGGTGCACGATGTGGCGATAGCGATTCAAGTTTTGGCTTATTACAACGTGGTGGCGACGCTCTTTCACGGAAGTTATGATGATGGGTCGGGGTTCGGTGGTGTTGCGAGGGCGTTGTTCGTCAGGATGGTGCCTTGCGGTGTAGTTGTCGTTTTTTATACGTTCTGTTTGGATCCCGTTTTAGATAGACTTGA